AACATGTACATTTACTAACAAAATACATATACTAAAAAAACGATAAAATTGACATTTAATTAAATGTTAAGATTTAAAAAGAAAGAATTATTTACAAAAATTGATAAAATCCATCGGTAAACCAGAACACAGATGTTGTGACCACAAAACTTTAAGAAATATAACTTGCTGTGCTGATATGAGGGAGATTTTTGTTTGGAAAGGATGGGGGGCTGGTTGTTTACAGATAGGGAGAGTTGGGAGAGTTGGGATTAGGAAGAAGAAGGAGAAATAGGGGAGGAGAAGATCGGTAGCATATACATATATTAACTTTTCCTGACGGGTTCACCGACGGACAATCCGGTAGTGAAACCGTCAATGATTCTAATGGAACAATCGACACGTCACCGTATGGATCTGTCATTTCAAATCCATCGATGAATCTGTCGGTAATATAAACGGCGGTCACTGTACGGGGCTGTCTTTTTGAATCCGTCAATGATTCTATCTAAAAAAATAACCTATCAAAACCTTCATGTCAGCAGCCTGTTTTTTTTTACTATGGAAACATTTCTTTTTAAAGAGTTGAATCTTGACACTAAAATAGAGACACCTTTTTTACACCGTTTCATTAATTAATTAATTAATCTCATAATTTAATTAAAGAAATTTATGTTCCACGTAGATTTATTGATAAGTACCCCAGATACATGAATCAAAGGATTCAGCTTTTGACCATGAGTCCCCCACAGATTATACCAATGATTAGTTATGTTTCACTGCATCAATTCTTCAGCCTTCTCTTTTCTACTCGGAAGTCTACAGTCTCCATTCCCACTCGTGTAGGTTACGCCGTGGAGCCTGTCCCATTACCAAGCTGCTCAACTTTCAAACACAAGCTAGTCTTACAGCCCATAATTTGATTGTGCTGACAAATTGCTTTTTAAGCATTCGTCTCTGTTTAGAATTACGGGCTAAGGGTTGGTTAAAATATATAAAAAAAATATTTAAAAATATTTTTTTGTGTTTTTAGATTTTGTTTGTGTTGATATTAAAAAAATAAAAAAAATATTATTTTAATATATTTATAAATAAAAAATATTTTCCCTACCCGAATATTACCTGCCTATTAATCAAAGAGGAAGGTTATTGAGTGAATAAAGAATACATAGTACGTACAGTGACATAAAAAGAGCAAAAATAATTATGATTTGCAACAAGAAACACAAGGGAAACGATTATAAGCTGCAAATTTTACAAAGAATCATTCATCGTCCTTAAAAGCACATGTCCAAGAGGCAGCAGCAACATAAGGCAGCGCAACTGTGTCACATAGCAAAAAGATAAATAAATAGGTACACAGTGAATCATTATTTAAATAAAAATGGAAAAAAAAATGCTTAGTTACCATCCTGTGCAAAATTCATCACCCCTCTGCTTAGTTTTTTCTGGAGGAGGTGGTGGCTGTTGGTGGTGTTGAGGACCATATTTCATAGGGTAACAAACTGGAGGTGGTGCAACATAAGGACCGGCTTGGTAGTACCCTTGCACTGGTGGTGGATAAAACTGTGGTAGTGGAGGAGGAGGAGGAGGGGGAGGAGGATACACCTCCTGCTTTGGTGGATAATATGAAACAGGTGCTGGAGGTGGTGGAGGATATACTCCTGAAAAATTATCAATTTAGTAACCCATTTTGATTAACTTCCTAAATCGCATAAACAAAGAAAAAAAAGATTTTCACAAGCCGACCATAAATTCAATTACCTGCTCAAGCTTGATACTGGTTGTTGTAGTAACTCATTGTTGAAATCAAGATATGATATCACCTCTGAAAAACTTGTTTGGTATATGAAAAAACCAAATGAATGAAATAAAATATTGTGTTCTATAGAGTTGGCTAGTTGTTCTTTAAGGTCTTCGTCAATGGCGACTTCTTACATGCATGGAAAAACTAGACGACCTATCATGTTATGACAATTGGGATTTCTTTGAATAATTCAATCCATTTGTTCCAAGAAGCAATGTGGACTCTGTCGTCGTTTCCTAATTAACTTCCATGAAACTGGAAAATGTACAGAAGGTTCCTCCAAAATGATTCTTTAATTAGCCTGCCTCTAGATGGTCAAGATATGAGGTTTTTTTTCTTCAATTGATATTGTATTCAAACCTATAGTTTTTATAAGAATAAGGTGAAGGAGTTATAGATTTTCTCTTCTAGAAGCCTATGGTTATTTGAAAATATAATAATGGTTATTTTTAAAATATTTTTTATTTAGAAATATATTAAAATAATATTTTTTTATTTTTTAAAATAATTTTTTATATTAATATATTAAAATAATCTAAATATATATATATAAAAATTAATTTAAAAATAATAAAAAATAATAAAAATTTTAATACTTTTAAAATACAAATAACAAACATTCATTTAAATTGACAGCTTACATGACTTTCATTGCTATATGGTTTGATGTCGAAAGCCTTGAATTGCATGGAAAAGGGTGGCTCTCTTGTGTAATCCATATTTATTATTAAGCCATGCAATCAAATTAATCAAATTAATTTGAACTATATATTGCTATTTTTCTAATTAAATGGAAATATAATTCATTCTTTATAAATAAACCTGATTAACTTATTAATGATATTTTAATATTATTGATAAATTATGTGTGTATTTGTGATATTAATGGTAAATGTATATTTCTTTTCAAAGACTTGAATTTTGACACTGAAATAGAGAGCCCTTTTTTACACCGTTTCATTAGTTAATTAATCTCATAATTTAATTAAAGAAATTTATGTTCCATATAGATTTATTGATAATCCCACAGAGATTTGTGTTCTTGGATTATCCTTTGTTTATGTGCTTTACTTTTTTCTCTCTCTCTTTTTTTTCATGGAAAGGACTAAAAGCCATCTCCTTCTTTTAACATAAAACCTTTAATATATTAAAGATAAGAATATCTCTAACTCACCATATGAAAGATATCCCCTCCTTACTATATTGTTATGGCACAATCATGAAACCTAAAATTTTTCTTGATCAAGCTCGAAGATACTAAATCTAACTGTTTATTAAACTCATATATATATTTAAATTTAGTACTTAACTAAGCTCATAGATATTAAATTTAGTTACTCGTAAAACTTATACAAGCTAAGCTTAGTGTTTAATTAAATAAATAAATTTAGATTATTTTTTTATTATTTCTTTTAAAAAATTCAAATAAAAATAAAACATATTAATCTATTGGACGGGTGGTGCATAAGATTAAGAGGGCGGAAGAGGATACATCTGCTTGACTTTTACAAAGAAATGGCTGCTTCTTAATGCATGGAAAAACTTTAGGGCCTGTGGTGTTGTGACAATTGCCATTTCTTTGAATAGTTTCATCCATTTGTTCAAGGAAGCAACATGGATTCTGCTTTCGTATTAAAATTTCCACAAATTTGGGAAATAGACAGAAGGTCCCTCCAAAATTATGTTCACAATATGGGCCTTTTCTTTCGATTCATATTATATTTATACCTATAATTCTCATAAGAATGAAGAATGAAGAATGAAGAACTAGTTAAAGATTCTCTCTTTTAGAAGAATACTATTTAGATTAATTTAGTGTCATTATGAGTTTATATACACCTCAATTAACATTATGTGATTTCAAATTACTAGTTATGAAAGCCTCCAATAACCATAAAATTTATGAATATTGAGCTTGTAATCTCTAAAAATTAAACTTAGAATCTAATCAATTAAACTACAACTCTTAATTTTTTTTTTTAAATATACTTAATCTAGAATATGGCATGCCAAGCCTTGATGTAACCTTTATAAATAAAACTATACTACACCTTTTAATTTGTAAACAAAAACAAGATTAACTTATTAATTATAGTTTAATACTATTGAAAAAACTATGTTTGTATTTTAATAGTAATGGTGAATTTTTTTTTTAAGAGTTGAATTTTTAATTGTTGAAATTTTTTTAATATGATGACATTTTAAGAAAGAGTGACAATAAGATGGAGAAAACACTTTAACACCGTTTTATTTAATCATATCATTTAATTAAAGAAATCTATGTTCCCATAGATTTAGTACTGGAATTAAAGAATTATATTTTTGAACAAGATATTTATGCATGTGGATCATGCTTTGTTGTTGCCACTTATTTATTTTTATTTTTATGTTTTCTATTTTAACAATGTGCTTTGGGACTAATACCATAAAATTATCAAAATACCAATAACTAGTCATCTCAGTAGCAATCTCAATAGCAATAGATTATCTCAGTTTTTCAATAACTAGTCATCTCAATAGCAATAGATTATCTCAGTTTAACGATGGCAAACCTTGGGCTCAGCCCATGAAAATGTGAAATAACTATTGATATTAATATAACTTTTTATTTATTTATTATATATTAAAAAATAAATTTTTAAATCAAAATTAAAATTAATTGTAAAGAAAGAAAAAGTAAAGTAGGCTTGTAAAATTACAAAAAACTTTATTTTATAATTATAATTATACATAAGAAAAATAATAAAATATGCCCTCGAACAATTAAGAGAGTATCAATTTCACACCTAAACTATTTTATATATTAATTTTATCGCTAAACTATTTTGATATGTTAATTATACTTTTTGTTAGAATCATTTGATGGAAACATAATATTTAGAGAGTTAAGCATTTTCGGTTTTGTTAAAGAATAAGGACGAGGATGTAAATTTGTTCAAAGAAAAAAGATGATTAGTTTTTCCTGTTTTATAGCTATAGTCATTTATGCATTCTTTTTTCTTTGAAAGCAGTTTATCTTATCACAACACCTAACAAAATCAAAATAGGATGTTGATTTTTATCTTCTTATTGTATTTTTTTTTTATTATCAGGGTCTTCATCAATTATGCCCTCAAGAAATCACAATCACCGAATCTAATTTTTTTAGAGAAATCACCAATCCAACAAATCCTTGAACATAAATAACTCAACTGTTTCTTTGTGCCGTCATCATGCTAGTCTTTAATAATTTCATTACAAACTGTTACATATAGAAAAATAGTACCGTATGGATAATCCGTCAAGTAAGTTCTCAGGAACAACTGAAGGGGTCACACCGGTCCTGTTTAAAACTCAATCTCCTAAACAGAACTTCTTATACCATATCTATCCATCGTACTGTCTTTCAGATATATAATCATTTGCTAGCTTTGTTGTGGCTTTCCTTTACAAGTGATTTAGGGTATCCTGATTTTATACCTGATTTCTCAACATTTAAAGAGACTACTAATACTTAGATTTATCAAGATTGATCTTCATCAATTTTCACTCTCCATCTCAAATCATTCATATGATCGGGTGTTAAAAGTGTTCCAATTTTTGTCTTTCCTTAAGGCAATTAAAATTTCCCCACTTGATAGTTCAACACATGTAATTAGAAAATTATGTGAGACTTCTTCTTCTTCATCTCCATCAACCACCATGATTACCCTCAGATGCCTCTTAATCAGGCAATTTCTTTTTAATAATTCATCACAACTATTTTTTGTCTCAATCTCAACGATCAGACTATATCATTGCATCTGAAAATGATCAAATTAGCTGGTAACAAGTCTGAAATCATCCAAATTGCATTTCAAATGGTTAAGATTTGATCAAAATAATTTTGATCTCATTAACAACCCAAATTCAATCTCAGATTCAGTTTCACATAGGATCAGCTACACTGGATCTTTTTTCTCAACTTGCAGCTTAGCTCCAACATAATTTGGCTCGCTGCTAATGACTTGGCAAATGGGTCCCACTATGCTGACATGTCAGTTGAGTAGGCACTAACATGGCATGCCAACTATACATGCTGACATCATGCTTACATCATGATGATGTCATCCTCTATTCAAGTCAGTCACATGGGTCGGGTCATCTAGTACTCGGGTTGGGTTAGCTTATTTGGATGAAGAAAAAGCGTGGCACATGTGAGGCGTATTTGTGCTCGTGGACAGACGCTTCGCCGGTGTATATAAACGTATATGGCCATGTCCGACGTCTGATTTTCACATGATTTTCACTAGTGTGCTTGTCTCTTCCTCCTCTATATAGTGGTATGGTTAAAACACAATTTTGATAACTTTATTTTTGAGCAAAAATCAAACATCACTTTAAATCATGTGCTCTGACACCAATTATTGGGGAATCCAAACTAGTAATGTACTAATAACTGCTCATTAAAGGCTAAGCACACTTATAAAATATTTAACATGGTTCGGCAAACCGTCTACATCCATGGAAAAAACTATTATTATTATATAGGGAGAGAATAAGATTTTACAACAATGGAAGAGGAGGAACAATTCACTCTATTCTTCTCCCATCACTCATTTTTTTTCTTTTAGTAGTGTTGCAATGGTAATCATTGTTTATTGGCTTTGACAACTCACTCTATCTTATATTTTTCATATCTTTAATTGTATTCTCTCTCTCTGTTTCTTTCATTTTGATCTCAAATAATATCTCTATTTATAAACATCAATGATAAGATAACATAGCTATAAATTATGATATTAATGGTGACAACACATGAGTTGTACTATTTTATTAATGATTGGTGCAGCTATTATTGTATCTCTTTTTTTTGATAGGATGCAAATAATATTTTATAATTACTTATATTAATAGCAACAATTCTAACAAACTATAATTTTTTTATTTGTTATTCAACTTGGGAATAAAATATCCCTAGTTAATGTGTACTAAATGCCTAATTTATTTATTTTTTAAAAGAAACCTCCCCAATGATACCAGCGTTATTTATACACTTTGAAAGTTCACATGTTTCCTTTACAAGCTGAACAAAGAGATGTGGCAATTAAAGTCATTAATAGCATAGTTATAACATCCCACCCAGGTTGAATCTAGTTCAAGGCTCATGGGGTGAAGGTTTAGTTAGATCAAATTAATCATTAATTTAAAATAAAAAAACTTGAAATGATATTTTTTATGGTTTTAAATAAACCTAGTACTTTTATAAAATATTTTTAAAAAAATATTAAAAAAACTTTTAAAAATACCCTCAAAGATTAAGCTTGGCCATCAAAAGTTGTTGCACGGAGAAAAATATTAATTAAAGAGCAACGTGATTAAATGTCATACATGGTACGTACAGTGACATAAAAAGAGCGAAAATAATTATTATTTCCAGCAAAACACAAGGGAAACAATTATAAGGTGCAAATTTTACTTCATAGTCCTTCAAAGCACGCGCCCTAGAGGCAGCAGCAGCAACTGTGTCACGTAGGAAAAAGATAAATAAATAAGTACACAGTGAATCATTATTTAAATAAAAAGGGCCAAAAAAGAATCTCAGTTACCATCCTGTGGAAAAGTCATCATCCCTCTGACTAGTTCTTTCTGGAGGAGGAGGTGGCTGTTGGAGGTGTTGAGGACCGTATTTCATAGGGTCACTAACTCGAGGTGCCACACAAGGACCGGCTTCATAGTACCCTTGCACTGGTAATGGATAAGACATTTGAACACGATGAGGAAGCCCCTCCTGCTTTGGTGGACATGAAGTAGGTGGTGGAGGATATACTCCTGAAAATCATCAATTTAGTAAACCATCAATTGATTAACTTCCTAGATCACAGAAAAAAGGGAAAAAAAAGATTTTCAGAAGCCGAACATAAATTCAATTACCTGCGGAAGCTTGATGATTGTTGTTGTCGCAACTCATTGTTGAAATCAAGATATGATCACCTATGAAAAACTTGTATTTGGTATGTGGAAAAACCAAATGAATGAAATGAAATGAAATGAAATGCTTTATAGAGTTGGCTAGTTGTTCTTTAAGGTCTTCGTCAATGGCGACTTGTTACATGCATGGAAAAACTAACTAGACGACCTATCATGTTGTGACAATTGGGGTTTCTCCCAATAATAATTCAATCCATTTGTTCCAAGAAGCAACGTGGACTCTGCCTTCGTTTTCTAACTTGAATTGCATAGAAAATGGACAGAAGGTTCCTCCGAAATGGAACTTTTGTCTGCTGTTAGATGGTCAAGATATTGAAAATAATAATTGATCTTCTAATCAAAACGAGACAAAAAGTAGCTCAAAAGCCTTGAATTGCATAGAGAAGGGTGGCACTCTCCTCTAGCCCCCATATTTATTATATCAAGACACGCCATCAAATTAATTTGAACTATATATTGCTATTTTTCTAATTAAATGGAAATATAATTCATTCTTTATAAACAGAATCCTGATCAACTTAGTAACTGTATCTTAATATTATTAATGAATTATGTGTGTATTTGTGATATTAATAGTAAATCTATATTTCTTTTCAAAGAGTT